AAATCTTATTAATTTAATTAAAAATATTATACAATAATTAATAGAAGTGAAAATCTTAACTTCGTGCGGCACCAAAACCTAGTTTCTTTTTTTAGTGCATTTACGTTTCTTTTAAATAAATCATCTCAAACTATTAAGCAAAATAAAAGTTTACATTCTGGCTATTTACAAAAATATTTTGGTTGACATAAAGTGATAAAAACATTGTTAGTAGGACATCAAACTCTTCTTTCGTTTGTTCTAGCAAGGGTTTGCTCAACTTTTCTAGATCAAACAAAAACAAATTTTGTAACTAATTTTTAACCACGACCATCGAAATACTCTACTTTCACATCATTAGAAATAACCATTACAATATTAGCATGTTTATTAAAGTTAGAAATTTTTTGAGAAATATCACTTTTGGAATGCCACTTTTCAAAAATGCTACATTTTCAAAATCTTTGCAAAAATGTCGCTTTTTAAAAATTATTTATTCATTATATCATTTATGTTTGAGTTAACTATGCTATCTTAGGGTTTAGTTTTGAAGGTTTAGAGGCTGTTAGGGGTCAGAAATTTTTTTTAAAGTTTTAGAATTTTAAGATTTTGGCTTTGAAAATCTATAATTAGTGATAATTTTGCAAATTGACAATCCATAGTGGCATTTTTCAAATTGTACAACCAAAAGTGGTATTTTTGCAATTGTCCCTTGAAGTTAACACATTATTTCACTTCTAAGAGAATAATTTTCATTTTAAAAAAAAATACATATTCTTCTCCAAAACTTAGTTAGATTCTTGATGTGTTGACAATGAAATCACATCAACAAAATCCTAGAAATTGATCTGGACTACGCCTGGGTATGTTGTTTATAAATTTGTTTGTTATTTTAGTATAAATAAATGGTATCATGAAAATTTTGTAGATTCAACAAAATTTTATATGTTTATCAAATATAAAATAAATAAAATGAAAAATTGATCTCTTTCACTTTAAGTGTTTGTGTTGTTTAAAATTCAAAATTTATTCTGGTGATATATATATATATACAAAATAAATACACATTTTAATTGTTGGCGACATATATTTTTAGTTATCTTTTAGCTCATTCTTTACCAATAAATTTAAAACTAATTCAGTAATAAACATATTTTTCTTCTACAAAAACTCTTGGATTCATCGATTATTTGAAATTTAATAATACCATAATTTTAATTTCTTTAGTTCAAACACAAAATCTTTAAAAGTTGATTGTTTTTATTTTCTCTT